CAAGTGACCTGAAGTGATGCTTAGAACAAGCATTGATGTAAACATAAACCAGGAACTTTCAGAACTGCACCTGCACATAAAAGTCTTCTACCTCTGTCTCCATCCATTTTACCTACTTCCTTTGAATTTGATTGCACTTCTATATATGCTTAATGATTCTTAAGTGTCCTTCAAACCATCTTTCATTACACTGATTTTCATTTTTGGACTTTAAAAAATTGTCTTCACTTTATTTGCACATCAATCAATAGTTTGTGCTTATAAACCTGCATTTCTCCTCTGGTCTCTCAGTCACTGACAAAAGGTAGTGGATGCTACCTGAAACGTCTGACCGTTTCCAAAATCATATCCAGTTGCTTGAGTAACTGCTTTTTGGCGTATCGTATTACCTGGATGTCTAACCTTCATCGACGTATCCAATTTTCAGTTTGGACAGGTATTCTTTACTACCACCTGTATCATTAGATGTACCAAACTGTGGAAGTACACTGTCCCTGTGCCAAGTCTCATAGTACTGTTACTGTTGGCATAAGGTTTCTTAGATTATCCCAAGACAGTCCTCAAGCCAGGAGGAGGATCTTGAGAAGACTGTTGTTGCCACAGGGAGCAGCAGGCTTGTTGATGGAGGCACTGCAAACTTTGATACTGATGTGTTCACAGCTGGAGACTCCCCCTTAAAGGTCACCCCATGTCAATGGTCCGCTGACCGACAATTGGGCTCTGAGGAATCTCCCGTCTTTTCTTCAGCAACATCTGTAACCTACTTTCTTTTATTTGCCAGTGGACTGATTAAATCACGACCAGCAGAAATTATGCAAGAGTCGCCCAAAGGAAATGTTATTGGGAAGATGAAACCAGTTCATCTAATTTTGTTTTCTTCATTTATAATGCTCAGTCCCTATAATAATGATTAATCACATTTAGGTTACACAAAAGTAAATAAATCATTTAATTCACAACAATTCAAGGTGGGTGGTATATACTACTATTAATTTTTTAATATAGTATATATTCCTAGGTTTCAGTCATACATGTAGCAACAAGGCTGAACAATTTAGCATATTTCTTGCAAGATATGATATACACTTTAGAGATCCAGGTAGAGAAAGAAAGGGGATTGTTGCAGTTCCTTTGTCATAGTTGATAGTTAGCTGGCAGAGGCAAAATATGTTTATCTAAATTTGACTTGTACATTGTACATTTAAGTTGCTACCAAGAATGTTATTACTAAGAATACCCGTAACATCATATGCAGTGTGTACTGAACTCCAGGTAACACAGACTGCTCAGACAACACTCAGTAAGTCTGAGTGACCACTGTGGGCCCAGGAGGAGCTTAAATGTCAGGTAGACAATTGACCGGAAGCTACCCCAGGTGCTCATAAATAGGGAAAAGTGAAAGAAATGCCCACTCTCAGGTTACCACAAACACTGGGGGTCAGTGCGTCTGACCCTTGGTGTTGGTTGGGTCAGGACCATTACTGGCATTAGGCTACACCAATTCAATTTGTTGGTTCTCAGATTCGCCTCTTCATTTTTTTCTGATTTGCAAAAAAAAAAAGATTCTGGTTCGGAATCAACTAAAAATGCTCATATTTTGCCCCCAACAGTTGAGGAAAGTTCCTTTCTTCCTAGTCGTTACAGTTTTTCCATCTCTCAATGCAGTGGTTTGATTATAAGTTCAAAATTTATCGTTCAAATATTAACCTAGCCTTTCGTGTTGACTTCATGGCTCCTATCATAGCATTTGGGACTATAGTATAATAGGATGCCTAGACCTGTTTTAATTTTTTTCCCTGTCGCTTCATACTTTTTCTGAAAAAAAATCTGAGAAACAACAAATTAAATTGATATGGCATTAGTAGGTCTGCTTGCACATTTGTGACAACACAGCTCTACACACAGACCTGTTGCCATATGCAGCTGGGATACATTGTTCACACCCATATGCTATTGACCCTGTGTCATCAAAGGACTGTCCAAATCATACTCTCTCTTTTATCAGTATGAAGAAAGATGCATTACTAGTCATATACTGGACATAACGTTTGTATATTAGGGCTCTAACATTTTCCATGGGAGAGACAACACTTTTCCGTACATTTGCCAGTTCAAGTTTTGATATATCATCATCAATTTTAAAGAATAAATTTCATGTTGGAAAGTTTGACGTAGTGTAGAAATCTGCAATTTATCCCAAACCATTATTAGTGACAGTGGCGACTACCTACCATATATTGTGTGTTTGTGTACATAGACAGGAAGTGGTCTTCTCTTTGGAGCTTGCAAAGAAGAGAATTTAAGCTGGTATACACCAAGAATCTTTTTTCTTACACTCTTGCTTACACAAAACACTCAGCAGCAAACCGAAGGCAAATAAGGTATAAACAGACATGAGACCAGGCATGGAGAGGAAACTTGGTCGACTCTTCCTGACCAGGAGTGTACTTGATGAAGGGCAGACCTGGGAGGATCCACATCTAGACATGCGTCAACGCTTACAATCGTGTATGCTGAAAGACGGTATTTGGGAGAACACCACCACAAAAGCGCTACCAACAATCCCGCTGTGGGTAACTCCCTGGATGTGAAAAATGGGGCTTGACCCGCAAATCTGCCTGGTCACGGAAAAGTACACAAGACCTACAACATGTAGCACTTGTTCTTTGATGGGATAGGACACGGACGGAGGGACCCAATCTTTGAATGGGACTCTGTAGGCTCTGTATCCAGGCGTTCCTTCCAATTATAGAGCTTGGAGAATCCTTTGACCCCCAGGCTGTGAATGTGCGGTTCGCAACTGCAATGTTGAAGAACCCCCTTAACATACCACCAAATGGCCATACCCCGGGCACAATTTGACATCTGGAATATTGGCCGTCAGGAGGCCATTAACCAAGTTCAGTACACATCCACACCCGGAGAGGGGACACATTTGCATGCTTGTTACATGTAGGAAGTAAACACGTCTGGATGTGGGGAGTAGGTGGAGACCAGAACACAACACAAAAGCAGCTGCCACGCCAACAAACCGGCACTCGAGATCTAGATGACTATCAGGACAGATAGGAATCTTACGGTCTTTGTAACAGTAGCATTTATGCTGAGGTAAGTTACACAAAGAAAGGAGGACCTTTCTGACTGGCCTGTTCAGTAATTTGGCTGTCATCTACAACTAAGGACAGGGTATTAAGGTGGGCCCACCCAGAAAAACGTCTACACAGAAAAGTACAAATTACCTTCATAAAACAGTTTTGCAAAGTGTCTAATAACATGTATATAGAAAGGGGTCTACACAACAAGACAAGTACAATAGTTGTTATTACACCTAGGTATAGTGAACCACAGTGGAAATCGGTATCATCTCGTTTGGGTCAATAAACACATCAGTTATGACGAGCATGTTGTTGATGGAGTATCAGTGACACATCGCTTTCCCTGTGTCATCGGCACAGAGATTAAAACTGGACACCACAAAACTGCCAAACAATTAGGCCTACACGACCGCCATGCAAACACTGCAGCATTGGTATTCCAGACACGGCGAAGGACTGACCACCCGTAATCATTTTAATCATCACAAGTGTTTGAAATCCCGTCAACATTTGGCAGCCCTTATAAGAGGGATTATACACTCTACCCATTGTGTTATTGAAAATGCACCCAGGTGTATACAGTTCGCCATGATTAAGATTCCAGACAGGTGCCCTATAGTTTGTGCTCAAAAAGCTGAAAAATGATGCCTCAGCAATCTACCTAAGGGCCTGGGGCGATTTTGTTGAGACAACAGTAATCCAGCCTTGTAATTATGTGCTCTACTATTTTGGGGCGTTACTCATTCATTGAAAAAGTAGAAAATTCCAGCAATGTAAATAGTCAGGGTTTTCCCATGAAAATTCTATTTTCCATCTGGTTTTGGTAGTAAGACACCAAAAAATTTTACATGCTTCAAAAAATTCAAAGAAAGTACATGGTTCTTTTATGACCTGGTGAGATAGACTAGGAAATTATCAAAGTGGTACTATAGTACACCCAATCACACTCACTCCTTTTTATGCTGGCCTGCTATTCTTGTCTGGAAATAACTCCTCAGAGTAAGCTTATATATGTTTGTATGACTTAAGGAGGGAAGACCTCCTTAGCACACACCTTGGTCAAATATTGGCACAATTTGAAGACCCCCCTCCATCCTCCTTAGGGATACCATGTTACTGGCCAAACAGATGAGAAGATATAAGGTCAAGCAGCGAGTGCTAAACAGCAAGGGCTAAACATACAGGGGAGTCCAAATAGCAAACAAACAACAACAACCAAGGACGTGAAATATGGGGATCCAAGAATAACACCACGGCAAGTGCTAATATCAACAACAACTGGCATGGGGTTATGCAAAATTAATGAGATGCAACGCCACCCGTAGATGACACCATATAACCCTACATAAAAAAAGATCAGCTGTTTCAAAGGGCTGCCAAAAGAGTTTGGTCACATAAAATAGGACCCATACAGAGAGATATACTGGGGGTAACGTTCTTTTGGTACAACGTTATAAATGGGTTTAAAACCAAGTACATACACAAAACATGACTAATGTTAACGTTAGAACACCCTCGATTAGACTTTGCCCGCATCAGCGAAGTGGAAAGACAATCCAGGAAGCTCTATATGACACATCCCTTTCCCCCTAACCCTGGAAAGGAAATGCTCGGGACCCCTATACCGGCGAGGGCCATGTTGTCCAAAATGGCCCAGCTGACTGCCACGTTATATTTAGCAGAGCCAAAATGTGGGGCCTGTGCTTGGCTCTAGCAGGGTTGGAACCAATGCAGAACGACTCTCTCCCCATGTTGTACCAAGGACACATATTGGCCTATTTACACAGGAGTTTTCCATTACCTGGTCCAACCATGCCAAGAAAAAAAAAGGTGATTTATTCCCTGAAATTGGAGGGAAAATCTGGGGAATGATGCGAATTAGTGGCTTGGCAACGTTCCACTCACCTATGCAGGCATGCACCCTGACGGAGAGCTGTGTGCGAAGAATCATCGAGTTCTTGCGGCTAAAAAAACGTAAACAAAAACAAACGTCACCTTCAATGACAACTGTCATTATGGCCTTTTCTATAAATATCAGGCAAATGTAATAAACGGTTATTTCAACTCAATATAAACAACACTAGAGTGACACATACTTAGAAATCACTTAGTAAGAAAAGAAGAACAATGCATTTGCAAACGGTTTCTTTAAGTTTAAGTGTGATCATAATACACAACTCCATATCATTCAATGCTTTCAAAAGTACCCCCCCCCCCATTTATGAACCACGTGACAACGAGCACCAAGTGACCACGTCTAGCGATATATTAGACGTTAAACAAGGACAACAACAACAACAACAACAACATAGTAGTACAAGTGTCAGACGATCTAGAAGCAAAGTGAGAATGAAAAGCAAAATTTGCCCCGAAGCAACGCGTTACAACTTGTAGTTTTAGGTTTGTTTTGATTTTTACCTGTCCTCGAAACCCTCCAAATATTCCCTTTGCTCGTCCAAGGTTGAGTCCAAGTCCAGGTAAGTACCGTTGTGGGATATTTGTAAGGCGCAGTCCTCAATCTGGAAATAAAAAGAAGATACAAACTATTAAAACAAGTGTCGAATATTAATTTCTTTCAGTTGTCACAAATTCCTCTCTCGCTAGTGGGGAGGGGGGACGTTTATTCCATAGCCATATAACTTTGGGACAGGGTCCGTCGGCTTAGTAAAGATTTGTTGGTCAAAAAACACTAGAAAATCGGTCAAACACAGCCATAAGAAACAGGAAGCCATTAGCCTGAAGAGTAAGTTGTTTTCCCCGAGTTTCCAGATGTGGAAAGCGCTTTACACGATCGCGAAGTGCTTCGAACATGACCGGCTGTGTCCCAGCCGGTCGGACCAAACCCCCTCAGAAAAAAAGTCGTCCGATTCTCTATCCCCATCATGTCCCGGGCCATGTCACTCACTTTGTGCGGCGCTCTCAGGAGAGTGTGGACCGTGCCGATCTGCTCGATCAGCGGGATGTACATGTTGAAGGTGTAGGTGGGAGGACGCGTCGGCTCGGGGAAGTTGGTGGAAGAAAACGGGTCCGTATCGTCCAGGAACTGGACCCTGCAGGTGAACGTCGCCATTTTGCCTGTACAACTCTGCTAACCCCCTGAGACGCCTACTCACGCACCGATCTGTGTGCCTCCGCGCCGAACCACATTCCCAAAATACCCTCCTTCTGTCGCGCGGAAATCCGTTCATCTAACTCACACCCTTTTTCACATGACCTATCAATATAACGAAAACATAAAATATTTATACGATGGTGCGAAAGAGATTTGAAACGTGGGCCGTGAAATATTGGGACTACTTTTAGCGGCAGGCGTACTAACATCATACGTCACACGTTACGTGTCCCATAATTAGCTGTTTATGTCACGTGATCAAGCCGTAACGGGACAACAGCGGTGAAGCGCTTTTTTCAAAGTCGTTCCGCTTTGTTACCGCCTTTTCCGTTCAATGGTACCTTTAATACTATTCGCAGCGCACAACGTAGAAGCTACATTTTCTTGTCAAATGACCAATCTGCATCGGTCTATTGTAGCCCCCCTTTTCTAGATGATTCTTGAAACCACGTTTCTTATGACTCAAAAGGGTTTTTCATTCACTTGGCAGTGACTCAAGAGAGAATTTTTCACGTGGGCGGTCATGACGCAAAAACTGTGGGAAGGATATCAGATTCCAGGTCTCTTATTCGATGGAATTCGCTGACAAAAGCGTATAGTCTCGTCTATTTATAAGCGCAATTTGTCAACTGCTATTGACTCCAACTCCTAACGGTCCCTTTCCGTGGCTACCCAGTGGCTACCTAACGGTCCACAAGTTAGACAACGGGCCTAGACATTCGTTGTATGCGATAGGTTGGCAATGGTAAGGAAATTGAGGGCATTATCGCGCAATATTGGGACAGTTTTGCATGTGGTAGTGTGTCGCAAGTCTTTACCAGACTAACAACACGGGTTCAAAACAGTGAATTCTAGCCAAATTTTAGTCCACCAGTTTATCACGACTAGTAAACTGGTGAACGTACCAACTACTAAGTATCTGATACCAGCCCAGAAATTGAAACAAGAAACAGCCATGTCTTCAAATATCAGAGTTATCAACCAAGAATCGAGGTGTTCAAAAACTCGTATTTCCCCAGAACTATCATAGGCTGGAACTCGTTGCCACCAAGCACAGTTGGGGCATCATCACTAGAAAGCTTTAACTTTAAGATTGAGTGTAAGAAGTCGTTCGGTGTGATATGGCTAGCTGCCGCCGCGCCGCGTGCCTGCGTGTGTGTGTGTTACGCCGAAGGGCGGGTATACCGGCTATACTGATATACAGATACAAATCAGCCTAGGGAGCATCCTAACCATAACCCCTTTAGGAATGCCTAGTGGAGGCTAATGTGCGTACAGAATTCAACTGTACGTTGTGACGGAAATTCTTTCCGACGGTATATAGGTTGTATCATGCGCATGGCCTTGCCAGTGCCACGAAATGTGTATAAATCCCAGCGGTGAATAAGTAGCACGCGTTGCTTACTTTTACAAAAGTAGACTAGTAAGAATGACTCCATAAAAACGCTCATGAGATAAGTTGCCGCAATGACGCAACGTCACCATCTCAAAACGCGTCAGAGCGGAACGAAACTAGACATCCTGGGCTGATTTTTCATATCAAAACGACATTCTTGGGCAAAAAAAAAGTCAAGAACCATCGCATGATATGAAAGTCAACGTCTGGATATTGTTGCTCATAGCAACATTCTGGTATGTGAGACACTGCCTTGAAAGATTTGTGCACTGATATTGTTTTCGCCTGTCAAGGACTCTTCCCGAAATACAATCCCGAGGATACATGTTGACACGAGCATATTTCCTGCGATCCTCCGAATTCTTAGTCTTCGGCCGGACACGTCTTCGGTGGGGTACTGCCCTTTCCTTGGCTCTTTGCGCGACGGAATTTACCGTCTGTTTTTTTGGTGTGACGTTATTGAAGGACACTTGTTGACTCAAAACTTTCTTCACAACACGCAGCATTCGGCCCGATTCGGGTCGCCGAGTAACACGTACGACAAACAACGGTTCACCTCGGTTCACACGCCTTTCAAGCGATTTGGGAAACAATTTTGGTGTCCTCGATGAAATCCCACCCAATAATGGCGACTCTATGACAGTAGCTAAAAGCGACACCTAGCGGCATGATGCGTCATCAACAAAATGCCGCACGAGACCACGGCACGTTTGCTGCAATTAGAAACATCACTGTAAGCATTTCTGACTCAACACGTATTCATAGATAGATGGTATCAGAACTGATATAGCTTATTATATATTTTTTTTTTTTTTTTTGCAAATTCAACAAGGACAATACAGGACAAGGTGGTGAGGTACTCTAGCTGTAGCTAATTTTAGCCTCACCACCAAACATAGAATACAATTACAATACATAACAAAAAACAGAGAACAGCAAGTGGTTGGGATGGGTCGTTAAATAGTACAAAGAATGTTTAGTAGGCTATATAATAAGTCTGTCGAGTACAAACCGTTTGGTATCAACAATATAAGTTTGAGTGGTTAGCAAGATATTACAGTTTGTATCATAGTATAAATCAGGTAATCCTCTAAGTAATATATCACATAACAATTGTTCAGACATATTGAAAACATCAAAATCAAAGCCTACCACATTCTGGAGATTGCTGAGTAGGGTAACTCTTTGTTGATTATATAAAGGGCAGTGTAAAAGAAAATGTATGACACTCTCACAACGAGACCCGCAGATACAAGCAGCACTAGGGGCTAAATTTCTTAAGAATAAGCTGTGGTTAAGACTACAGGTCCCGATGCGGAGACGCGTGAGTAATGCGCAGGTGTACCTGGGGCCAATGCTAAAATGTCGGTAAAAAGGGGAACGTACTGACTTTACTAAGTACTTCTTATACAATGAAAGATTCAGAGATCGAACAGCTACATCAAGACCATTCCAGTGATGCGTAGCATATGGAATGAAAGACTTTTTATACCTAGTTGTAAGACAAAGCGGTAGCCGTAAATTAGATTTATTACGAAGATCATATGAAGTCGAAAAAGAAACTTCGGGAGAGATCAGGTCCCTGAGATACTGACGGCTTATTATATATAGGCTATCTAATACAAGCTTCCCTTTTCCACCTGCCATGGCCACCTGTTGTCGGCCAGATGGTACAGACAGTAGCCTCTACCAGGAAGAGGCTGGAACGAGTATAAGTCGGCCAAATAGAGAGATAGCATGCCAAGGGAGTTAGGTCGGCTATAAAGAACAGTTTGCGGCTTCCGCTTCGGGTCGATTTATACTCTTCCCAGCCCCCTCCCGAAGCCTGGTAGAGGCTAGCTGGATAGCCATTCCCGATCGACCATTTCACCTCTCGTATTGCTATATTCAGTCAACGTTGACAACAGAACTATGAACAGTAAAAAGGAATTAACACAGCGCATAAGCGGAGTTAAACGTTCTCATATCAACCCATTCCATAACAAACTCCAAACCTCAACCCAGAACAAGGATAGCGAAAGCCAGCTGACCTCTCTCAAAAGAAAAACTAGAAATCAGAAATAACAGACCAAGTCTCTCTTAGTTAATAGTATCTGCTAATTACAAAATATCTACATGGCTTTGAAGTGTAGTTCTCAATGAACAGTCCAACTAAAGACAAGAAGAAACACGGAAAAACGTCTCAAAGTTCTAAGACGTCGACTTTCGAAGAGGTCGTCTGCAATGGGAAGATCGCACGCGACGTCTTTAACTTTTTCCAGCATCTTGCTTAATTTCTGTCAGCCGACAGGGGAGATGGACTTGACCAATAGCCTTAAAAGAAACAGGCACTTTCTTGATGTTAGTTTACTTTTTTTCTGCGAAGGTCGCAAACGTAATGGTCGACTGAGTAGGCACGCGAGCGGATAGTCTGGTGTCCAGTCTGATCGTGGTCGGGGCCGCAAGAGCTCTGTCCCGCCCGCCTCACATAGGTTTCCCGGTGTGTATTTCACGAGAGATTGATGAGCCCTCCACGAAAACCAAATCCCCAAGCATACTGTCTCTTATTAGCGTAACACTCCTACCGGGTCGGCCTGTTGCACTGGGCGGGGGAAGCTATTAGAGCCCCCGAAGACACAGCCTGCCTGAACACCCCAACACCCCCAATCACGTAAGACTGGATACCAGGCTAGTGAGCGGACCGAAATTGCGGTACTTAGCGGTCGGGCGTGATTGTACGCATTCCCCGGCGGTCTCAAACAAGCCGCGACAGTGTTTTGGCGGAGAGAATATCATCAAGCTTAAATTGCCAGCGTCTGTCACAACCAGTCACAACGTGTGGGTAGAAACTACATAGTTGGAAAATACCGCAGTGTCAAACATGGCGTTACACAACAGGAGTGTGTCATCAAATACCACGGGTGAAGATGTTGGCTTCGAGTTCACCAAAGCACGACATGCCACATGACCATTGAGGCTTATCAGTGTTGAGAATAATTATGTTTATCGAAGGAAAATGTATTTTTGTTTTTGCTCTGTTTCCTCTTCTTCTTCTTCTTCTACGAACCAATAAGGTCAATGACCTAAACCAGACGTCTGTCACCATAGCCGAAGGAAAATATATTTTTGCTTTTGCTCTGTTTCCTCTTCTTCTCCAAACCAATAAGGTCAATGACCTAAACCAGACGTCCGTCACAATGGTAACTAGTGTTGGGTTACACCATGTTGAAATTTTATTGCAGGGGGGATTTGAAATTTTTTTTTTTTTACTTTTGGGTTGGGTGAAAAAAAATCTAGTGCAAAACAGAGACCCTGATAGAAAAGCCTAAAAACACGCCAAAAATAACCCCAAACCCAAACCTCTGCTTGGAGAGTACACATTTTGCACACCAAATGTAGCGATGGGACAACAGGTGAAAGTACAGAAGTTCTCTTCTTCGCAAGCTCCGAAGAGAAGACCACTTCCTGTCTATGTACAAAAACACACAAGATTAGGTAGTCGCTACCGTCACATTTTGCACACCAAATGTAGCGATGAGAGAACAGGTGAAAGTACGGAACTAGGAAGTCCCTCCAACATGAGGAGCGTGTTTTCACTTCCCGTCTTTTCTTTCACCTGCAGCGCGCGACTCCTGAACTCTTTCGGAA